AGAGGCAGAGCGGACTCGAGCAGTGCTCATCTCGGCTTCAAAAATCAAGTGGCTTAAAATACAGTGAGTGAGTCTGCACCAAGTCTTCACTGCTGGGTACGTTCAGAAGTTTTATTTTATCTTTTCATAATCACATCTTGTCCAATGGACTGAGTCATTATGAAGCAATTCTCCCCAACTTTCCTCTTTTAAAAATATCTAGCTTTGACTGAGGCTCTCCCAATGCTTTATTTGCAAATCCAACCATTCAAAATACAAAAATTCAAAAATTGACAGGCAAAAAAATCTGTATATAATTACAAAATACAACAAATTTGGGTAAAGAAAATTGAGTACATTTCCATGATTCGCTCCTGTATCCAGCTCCAGAGAAGAAAGAATGATGAAATTGGGGGCTTCTCCAATTTTTACGTGTTTCAAACCAAACTGAAGTAGCAGCAGCAAAGTCTTTGGTCTACACGACCAGTAACAAAACCCTGCACCCCGCCGTGGCCATACCCCCCCTCACTCTGCAGCTTTGCCTTTTCTCTTGGAACTCTCCCCGATTCCGCTCCATCTGTGCCCGCGTTGGTACAAAGGGGACCCGTTACCCCCCGCCCCAGGGCGCTGATGCCGGATCTCTGGTGAGCGGCCTCCTCAGCGCGGGAGGGTAGCACCAAGTCACGCCCTTTGCAGAGGTAACCAGGCAATGCTTGGGCGCTTTACTGCCACGTTACCAAACGTTATCAAATAGACAGAAAGCTCTCCACCAAAATCACAATCCCCGTATAAAAACCTCCCTTACTACGGGCTGCAAGCGTTCCCCCTGCCCCCGAGCGCTCCAGCCCAGAGGTAAATACTCGCAAGAAAGGACAATTCCAGAGAGAGAATAAAACAACCAAACATCCACAAATTTAAGCTCCAGAGACCATTTTGAAAGGCAGAAAAGCGAGTATGTTCCATAATGAACTGGTAAGAATTTGATTTTGCTCTAGAATGTGTAAAAAACCAAAACCCCAAACCCATCCTTTCCTCCCGGTAGTCACCGAGTGAGGAGCTTTGGCCTAGCTGGCACGCGCTCTGCTGGTCACACCTCAACGCCCATTCGAGTCGCTCTTGGCAGCGGCGTTAGCTTTGATACTTTCTGGTGGGACACTTATCAGCTCCATCAGGTTTGAGGCTCGTTCCCCGAGAAGAGCTCACTGCCCTGCTCGCCTGGAAGCAGTCGGCAGCTGGAGGTCCCTCTTACAGAACGCACAGAATTTGTACAGAGCTTCTCAGCTGTGTGGCTTCTCAGCGGCTTGTTGCCAAAATCCCCAAGACGATGTCTTCTCCCCAAGGAGAGAAGGCAATTCAGAAAAGATACAGAAAGTCAGAGAATTGTTACGGTTTTCTTACAGCGAGGATGCTGCAAGACAACCGCGTGTTACGAAAAGGGCCTGCGGTTTCTGTGAAGGAAGCTGCTAGAGAACTTCAGCTACACAGGGCAAGGGGAACCCGATGTCCATGTACGTACGAGATTGATTTGTCCCATACCATGTGGCTTTCTCCTTCCCTCTTTCTCACCAGGTCTTTGGCTCATATCAAATTCACACCAAGGCTTCCTCAGGCCCCTGTGGCGTTTGGAAATGGATCCGGGAGTGAGCGAGCACCGCCCTGAAAATGGCTTCTAGGCACTACAGGCCTGACAGCCACCTGGTAGGCACTTCGGTAAAGATGGAGCCTGAACAATGCTGTTTTCTTTCTACTGCTGGAATTAATTTGACTCAGATCCCCTCTCTTCTGTCTGCAGCAGCACCTAACCTTCCCATGACAAGGCAGTTCAGCCTTGTTCTTCAGAGCTTGACCAGAAAGTGGGCTTTTTGAGAAGCACTCTCCCATGGAGGTCCAGCACCATAGCTCCATCAGGTGGCCTAACCCCCTCCTCATCCGGCAACCTCCTCACCTGCTGCTGAAACAAGGTCTGACAGGCAGCAGTGCCGCACGCTGCCTGTGCTCCACCGCAGCGGTCCAGCAGACGGCTTTTGACGCGGCAGCACGCGTAGCTAAGGCTTCACACGCACCACAGGTCGGGGGTATCGCTGTTGACGAGCTTCGCTGGGTTGCAGCGCTGGACCATGACCTCCTCTGCGCTTTTATTGCCATCTGCTTGCAGCTGTGTATCTGAAAATCGCATCCCCGTGAAGCTGGGTCTGACAGGGCCTGTGGAGATGAGCCCGACACCCTGCTTATTGCTGGAACCCCAGGGCTGAAAGTCAGCCTGGTCACAGCCATCTTCACTTGGGTGCTGGAGAAGACCTTGGTAGGCAGCATCTGAGAGTGGAAACGTGCGAGGCTCCCAAGGCTGTACGTTCTGCGGAGCAAAAAGGAGAGAAGTCGCTGAAATTAAAAGCCTAGAATCAAGTACTCAAAGAACTCAACACCACCATCTCCTCCCTGTCCGTGCCGATCTGCTGAAAGACCAGCAGCTTCCCTTTAGAAAGCCAGCTCCAGGTTTGCCTGGGTGCCAAAGCAAAGCCAAGTTCTGAGAGCAATGCACGCTGCGCACTATTCACAACATTTCATTCCAGCTTTCCATTGGGATCATGACTGCTGCCTTGCCACCTCCACCGACATCCTTGTTTTTCATCGTCTCTTTCTCTGGAAAGGCTTCCAAGGGAAACGCTCTGTGCTTGAGCCCAAACCAAGGACAGAGCTGGTACAAAGTGCGAGACTGTGCCTGTAAGACTTTGTAAGAGCATCCCTAAGGATGAGGGGAAGTTCAGTTCCTCCGGTAATTTCAGGAGTTAATCCTTAACAAAGTTCAACTTCTTCTGCCAAGAAGGATCCCATGATGTGTGCAACTGCCTGAAAACATTCACTGTCACGTAGGCGACTCAGGCCCACCTGCCAGGGGTAACCTCAAACTCTGGGTCAGTGTTGTTTTAGAATTTACAACACAAGGAAGAATTCATCCCACTCTGAATCCTTTGGCCAGCCCCAGTCTCAGCAAACGCACAAGCTGAACTGTCTTCTGAGCTCTGTGAAGCTCCTGTGGCTTCTGGAAAATTCATTTTATAGACCAGCAAAATTGTTTTGGGAAAGAACACGCAAGCTGCAGCCAGCTGACATTTGTGACAGCATAACAAACAGAGCACAACTCTTATGTCCTGGAGCCCCAGGCTGCTGGGGAGCGGCTGGGGGAGCTGGGGGGGTTCAGCCTGGAGCAGAGGAGGCTGAGGGGAGCCCTCATCGCTGCCTACAACTGCCTGAGAGGAGGGGGGAGCCGGGGGGGTCGGGCTCTGCTCCCAGGGAAGGGGCGATGGGACGAGGGGCACCGGCCTCAAGTTGTGCCAGGGCAGGGTGAGGTTGG